ATATACAGACCTTCCTGACTCCTGATCTTCAGTTGTCTATTTACCAATCAGTACTGTTATCAGTTTATACATGTTTATAAATAGACTCATTCCTCTCTGTATAAATAATTTCACTGCCTATACTGCTCCTTACCACGCTAAGATACTCTAAGTAAACTTCACTAAGAAATCAAGCCTGAGATATCAGTGGTTTAACCAAATCAATAGTTACTTCTTGGTTGCAAGTTATCCCTAATCTTTACTGACAGATGGGAAGTGGAGAGCTTCTCCATTTGCTCAGTGACCAACCGGGGCTGACAGTTTCTATCTTTCTTTTTGGTACCAACTGGAAGACAGGGCTCTGTCCTCCACTGCAGGGGAGAAGAGAAGGAGAAGAAATCATACAAGTGATTAAAGGCATCAATTAAGCCACTCAGAAGCAATTAAGGTGACCTATGTCTCTTCTGCTCACAGCCCTTGACCATACCTAGTCAGATGGTCCTGAAACAGCCAAATAACTGGGCAATATGGGCCTCTTGAAAAAATGTAGCCTTCATATGCCCAGAAAATAAAAATATATTGAACACTAGTCTACCTCTTTTATCTCAGTCCTTTTTTAAGTATATGCAAATATATATATTTATTTAATATATGTGTATATGTATGTATACATACATTTATGAATATATTTACACAGATGTGTACATGTACACACATATGTGTGTATAGTGTGTGTATATATGTATGTCCTGGAGCTCATTCTGTATTAGTAATTATATCTCTGATTTTAAAGGCTAAGTAATGTCTCATTGTATGAAAATATCAAATTTTACTTACCTAGTCCTATACTGGGTTGTTTCCGGTCTTTTGCCAGTATGAAAATGCTGTAGTGAATACCTTTTGTGAACAAGTACAAGCATGTTACTGGAATGTATTTCTGGAAATGAAATTTCCACAGCAAATTGTATGTTCATATAAAATTTTGAAACATATATTAAAACCATTGATATTTTGGGGGTACTGGGTGGCTCAGTCAGTTAAGTGTCTGCATTTGGCTCAGGTCATGATCTCAGCATGGGGCTGAGCTCTGAGTCGAGCTCCCCACTAAGAGGGGAGTCCGCTGCTCCCTCTCCCTCTGCCCCTACCCCAACTCATGATCTCTCAAATAAATAAATACATCTTTTAAAAAATTTTATTTTCTTTCATATGTATTGTCTGCGTCTTCAGTACATTTGTCTCCTTTTTTGATTTGTTGGAACTGATTTATGTGTTTTGATTTCTGAAAATTCATGTTGAATTATTTGGTACATAGATATTAATAACTATTTTATCTTCATAACAAAGTGCATTCCTTAATACATTTCAAAGGCCTGCATTTAATTTTGGTTTTATTAAGAATGTGATCCTGTTTGAATGGGAGAAGATATTTGCAAATGACATCAGATAAAGGGCTAGCATCCAAAATCTATAAAAAACTTATCAAACTCAACATCTAAAGAATAATCCAATCAAGAAATGGGTGGAAGATGTGAACAGACATTTCTCCAAAGAAGACATACAAATGGCCAACAGACACATGAAAAAATGCTCCACATAACTCAGCATCAGGAAAATACAAATCAAAACCACGATAAGATAACACTTCACACCTGTAAAAATGGCTGAAATCAACAAGTCAGGAAATGACAGATGTTGGTGAGGTTACATAGAAAGGGGAACCCTCTTACACTGTTGGTGGGAAAGCAAGCTGGTGCAGCCACTCTGAAAAACAGTATGGAAGTTCCTCAAAAAGTTGAAAATTGGGCTACTCAAGATCCAGCAATTACTCTAGTAAGTATTTACCCCAAAACAAATGTAGTGATCTGAAGGGGCATCTGTATCCTGATGTTTATAGCAGCAATGTCCACAATAGGCAGACTATGGAAAGAGCCCAGATGTCCAACGTCAGATGAATGGATAAAGAAGATGTGGTATATACACAGTGGAATACTACTGAGCCATAAAAAAATAAAAATAAATAAATCTTGGTATTAAAAAAAATCTTGCTATTTGCAACAATGAGGATAGGACTAGAGGGTATTATGTTAAGTGAAATAAGTCCATTAGAGAAAGATAATTCTCATATGATTTCACTTCTATGTAGAATTTAAGAAACAAAACAGAGGATCCTAGGGGAAGAGAGGAAAAAGTAAAACAAGATGAAATCAGAGAGGGAGACAAACCATAAGAGACTAATCATAGGAAACAAACTGAGGATTGCTGGATAGGAGATGGGTAGATATAAGGAGCACTGGGTTTATAGAGACTGTTAATCACTGGCCTTTGAAACAAATAATACATATGTTAATTAATTAAATTTAAGTAAAAAAAGAAAAACTAAAAAAAGGTGACCCTGTTTTCATTTTGTTGGTATTTTTATTGTCCTTCTTTTTATCTCTGGATTCTGTAGCAACTTTATTTTGTATCCAGCATGGTATTAAATTTTGCTTTGGAATTCAATTTAATTATTTTCTGTTAGACAAATTGAATCAGTTTATAGTAATTATCAAATTCCATCTTTGTTTTACCATATGTTAGTGTTGTTTTCCCCTCTTTTTTTTTTTAATTTTTTTTTTTATTTTTATTTTACGATAGTCACAGAGAGAGAGAGAGAGAGGCAGAGACACAGGCAGAGTGAGAAGCAGGCTCCATGCACCGGGAGCCCGATATGGGATTCGATCCCGGGTCTCCAGGATCGCGCCCTGGGCCAAAGGCAGGCGCCAAACCGCTGCGCCACCCAGGGATCCCCTGTTGTTTTCCCCTCTTAAAAAGCCTTGTGATTTATTTTATTTCCTTTGTTTCTCCATTAACTTCTTCTTATAATTAGGAAGAATGTGATTTTTTAGTACTTCCTTTTTCAGCTATCACTTTATATAACATACACTATCATGTATTTACTAGTATTTATTAATTTCCTAATATAAGCAGTGATAAAAGTAATACAATTCATTTTCTCTTCCTTTCTTTACTCATTTTGATTAATGATATCATGAATTGATTCTTAGTTCTAATAATTATCAATTATAGAGGATATATTTTGGTACCTTAGATTTAAAATTAGAGGAAATTCAGAGCTCCTATGCTGTCTTACACTCTTTTCTGTTCCACATTCACTTTTTATTAGTTTTATAAATTTCTACCTTGTCAGAGGATAAAAAAAATATATTCTCTTATCATCCATCCTAAATTTATTTTATGTAGGAATTCATAGTCATATGTAAATCCTCTTGTATATTATTTAATTTTTATTTTTAGAAATATATCCTTTAGGTTCTAGAAAATTCTACAAAGTGGGACTCATGGGAACAACGTTCTTAAGTTTTTTCAGGATCTCAACTATCTATTTTTTATCTATCTTTAATTTTTTGTCCAAACTGGAGCACTTCAGAGTGAGAGTGGGATGCCACTAATAACTATATCAGTACAATGGGTTTTAACTCAACATATCTCAAGCTAATAAAGATGTATAGACATTCCACTTGATTGTCAGTGTATAATTTTAATATAAACATTACAATATTTATCTTTTTTCTAAAACAACACTCTTTCTAAAAGTTCTTTTTAAATTTTATTTCAGAAATAAAACATTCTGTAAGCTATAAATGGTAAACTAATAAAACTCTGAGACAAAATAAGCTTTTGATTATATTTTAGAAAAATGTTTCATTCCATTATTTTATCTCCCACCCCCCAACTTGAGGACTACTAATATATATACATGTTGGATTTCCATTTTCTTTATCTCATATCTGTATTTTTTCCCTAAACTTAAAAAACTATTGATATATTTCTATTACATTGTTCCTAGGTTTATTATTTTTATTCTCTATCCTACTCGTATTTTTTTACATTGTATCCTCTTTCTTATGATGCTTCCAATTTTGCCATCATTTATATTATTATTTTCTTTTTTCTTCTCAAACTTTCCTGAACTCTGGTAGCTCATATTCAGTCTCCTATGCATGATTCTTTTCAAGGCACTTGTGTTTCTGCTTTGTGCTCTCTATATAAATACAGAAATGATTATTTCATATGTTTTTCCCACTATTTATGGTCATTTGGATTATTCAGTCACAATTTACAGTATAAATATTCTTATATTAGTCTTTCACATTTTGTTTCTTTTTTATTTGGATAGTATATTTCAAATCATCTCTTCCTTTTTAAAATAATACACATCTTTGAATCCACTGAGTTTTCTCTAAAAAAGGAATTTGTAGAAGTTTATTGTAGAAATCATGTCAAGTCTTGCTCTAGGCTAATTTTTTTCCCCTTGTGACTTAGGAAATTATATGTGAGTTTTTCACTTTTTATTTCATTCTAGACATTGGAGATAGATAGCTGTGGTAATAATAAAACATACTGTCTTATCCTAACTTTTGTGGTAATAATAAAATATACTGTCTTATCCTAACTTTTATCTCTGTGAAATTTTTGCATTTCATTCTTATCTTAATAAATATTTTCACTGGATGTAGAAATATCGGTTGAGAGATTTCTTTAAAACATTTTGTAGGGAAACCTGTGTAGCTCAATTGATTAATCATCTATCTGCTTTCAGCTCCCAGCTTAAGGAGTCTGTATCTCCCTCTCCCTCTGCCCCTCCTCCCTGCTGTGCATACACACACACACTCTCTCTCTCTCTTTCTCTCTCTCAAATCAATAAATAAATTCTTTAAACAAAATTAAAAATAAAAAATAGAACATTTTGTAGGTGACATTCCATTATCCTCTATCTCCTTTTCTCTAATGAGATATCAACAATAATTTATATCATTGTTCTCTTATATGCAGTGTGTCTTTTTGTTGTCTCCTTTCAACATTTTTCTCTTTATCTCTGGTTTTCCTCCGTTTGATTGTAATGTATCCAGTGAGGTTTTCTTAGTAATTATCTTGGTTGGTATTCAATAGTTATTCATAAATATCCTAATTGAAATAATTATTTAATTTTTTAAATTGTATTTGGAAAATATGCTTTTTTAAAAAATATGGAACACTTCATGAATTTGCATGTTATCCTTGTATAGGAGCCATGCTAATTTTCTCTATATCATTGCATTTGGAAAATATTCTGTTATGTATTTAATATTCTTTCTTTATTCTCTGTCCCTTTTTCTATTTAGATTCTAATTGCATATGTATTATCCATTTGCATATGAATGGACAAAGTATACGAATGGATAAAGACAAAATGAAAAATGTTAGTATTGTACAAAATAGCCTTTAGGGTAAAAAACATTATTAGAAAATATTGAGGATTAGTTCATAATAATAAAAAATTTAATTTACCAAGAACTAATAATAATTTAAAACTCTATGCACCTAAAACTATAGTCTAGGAGTATATAAGTAAAAATTTTCATAATCACAGAGGAGAGAAAAATCTCAGAAACATAGTGTAAAATCTTTACTATACTTCAATACGTGAGAGAAAAATAAGACAAGAAAATAAACAAAACATCATTATGAAACAATCCTGTTGATTTCTATTCATACTATTTTGCCTTACAGTCTATTTTATTTAATAATAGCATATCTATGTCAGCTTTCTTTTGCTTGTATATACATACTGTGTCTTTATTCATCCATTTGTCATCATTCTATATTCTTTTTTTTTTCTTTTTTTAAAAGATTTTATTTATTCATGAGCAAGGGCAGGGTGGTGTGGTAGAGGGAGAAGCAGGCTCAATGCAGGGAGCCCGATGCAAGACTCGATCCTGGGACTCCAGGATCTCATTCTGTATTCTTATATTTTATGTTTGTGTCTTACAAACAATTTACAGTTGGACTTTTTAAAAAAATATGTTATTTATCTATTCATAAGAGACATACAGAGAGAGACAGAGACACAGGTAGAGGGCAAAGCAGGCTCCCTCTAGGGAGCCTGATGGGGAACTTGATCCCAGGACCCTGACACTACGACCTGAGCCAAAGGCAGACTCAAACCACTGAGCCACCCAGGTGCCCTATAGTTGGACTTTTAAATCCAATCTCAAATATTGCTATTCTAATTAGTATATTTATTCTATTTATTTAATATCAGTCATGTTAGTTGTAAATTCACTGATTTTTGTTTTCTGCTTTTTCCATCTGTTCTATTTCAATTTCTTCATTTATGTTACTTTTAAGATTTTTGTTTTTATTTGTTTATATTTTTTAAAAATCTTGAATGCACTCTTTCAATTAGTTGTCAGAGTGTAATAGTAAGATATAAGAAAATCTGTGTACTTAGTCTTTGGTCCCTCATTCCAGGCACAGATTTAGTTAATCACCCATAGCCAATGATTTAATAAATAATGCCTATATAATGGAGTTTCCATAAAAACCCTCAAGAGTAGTATTTGGAGAGCTTTCAGGTTGGCCAGCATATTGAGATGCACACCTAGAGAGGGGATGGGAATTTTGTGCCACTTTGCTTGTGTGTTCTTGTGCCTCTTTGTTGGGTTTGACTGTTCTTGAGATGTATTTTTTATTTTTATTTTTTTATTATGATAGTCACACACACAGAGAGAGAGAGAGAGAGAGAGAGGCAGAGACACAGGCAGAGGGAGAAGCAGGCTCCATGCACCGGGAGCCCGACGTGGGATTCGATCCCGGGTCTCCAGGATCGCGCCCTGGGCCAAAGGCAGGTGCTAAACCGCTGCACCACCCAGGGATCCCTTGAGATGTATTTTTTATAATAAATCAGTGAGAGTAGTAAAGAGTCTTCCTGAGTTCTGTGAGCTGTTATAACAAATCATTGAACCTAAGGAGGGTATTGTGAGAACCCCCAATTTATAGCTGATTGGTAATAAGTACAAGAGGCTCAGGACTTGTGATTGACCTCTAACGTTGGGGAAAGTCTAGTGGGTCTGAGTCCCTAACCTGCGGGGTTTGCCTTAACTCTAGTAGTTGGTGTCAGAATTTAATTGAATTTTAGGACACCCATGGTGTTCAGAGAGTTGGAGAATTGGTTATTGGTATGGGAAAAAATCCACTCATTGCTGTTAGAAATACTGTGTATAAAAACAGTTCATACACGGAAGTTACAAACTGTGTACAAAACTAGTTAAAGTCTAAATTACCAAACCCTAACAATTCCACAACCCCCCCCATAAGAATCATAAACATTTTGTCTTCACTGGATCTCTCCTGTTTACTGTTATTTTTGTCATATTTTCTACTTTTTTTTCTTGTTTAATAAACCCTGGTGTTAAACCAGTGTGGCTATGATGCTTCAGGATGTGTTAGATTGCTGGTTTCCTTTTGTTTCAACCTTACACTGCAGCATCTCAGCTTAATCTAGGAAGTCACTTCTAAGGCTGTATGACTTAGTCAGGCCCTGGCTCCAGACACATGGTTGTTTCTACCAGACCCCAAAACTGAAGCCAACTTCTGAGTGGATAAATCTTGTACTGCATCAACTTCAGTGTTTGTGTTCTCCACTGGCTTATATGGGACCTCCTTTCCCTTTTGTTCTGACATGTACTTTACTACCTTTGGAAAATTTTTATGTTCCTAAAAAAATGTATATTTTAAATCAAGCAGTGTTCATTGTTTTCAGTAAGAGAGGGACCTAATTTATAATGACTGTCCCCCTGCCCCTGGAATTCAGTGTCAAGAAGGAACATTTATGATGTTTTCTAGGAAGGTCCCAGTTAATATTTTTAAGTAATAATTTAACCCATAACTTTCTCACGTATGCATATCAATTCCTATAATGTGGTAATCCTTTACAGTCTACATGAAGTGGAGGCTTCTTCAATCACAACTATCCACAACAATCAATCTCCCTCTCTTACTCCCTACCTCCCTCTTCCCTGTATGTGCTCCTAAGTTGTCTCCACGTTAAGTTAGTAGCATAAGAGTAGGGTTCTTTAATTTTCTTTTTATTTTATGCATTATTTATATATATATTTATTTCATTGTACACCTATAGCAACTAGAAAAGTGTACAGAATAAAAACATTCAGTATCTCCTTACAATAAATAACATTTTCTACACTAGAATATCGTCATGATGAAAACAAAGTTAACATTTTTCGATTAAATTCACTTTATGCTATAATTTATAGTGATCTTTCCTGAACTATTACAATTAGAATATTGTGCTTCTCTAGAAAAAAATGAAAAAAATACTTGAAGGTCAGCAAAAAAAAGCACATTAATATAGATAAAATTCCGATGTTCATTAGGTTTTTTAAGTACAGAGATTTATTTTAATTTTGCTGTGAATGTATATGATGTATATGCTACTCAAGTATATTGCATTTAAGGTATTTCACAGTTCAACATGAAAATGTCAAGTTATTTTGGAGTTCACATCATTCTTGAAGAAGAGAGAATACCTTTAATCCTATTATTTCAACATTCTTCTTTCATAATAATTTTGTGGAACACCTTTATGCTCTGTGTGATTTCTTTCTAACTGAAACAATAGATTATAGTTTGACAAAACAATTTTTTTTCAATCAGGTTTCAGTTCACTTTAAAGAGAATTGCTTTTATCCCTTCCTTATAAAGGAACCTATTATGATATTTGAAGTTAAACAAAATGACCTAGTAGAAAATATGTCACTTTAGAACTACAAGATTTGTGATTTAAGATATCATTCTGAATTCTCAGAATACGATGGAAACATTGTTTCAAATGTCCTTTAAAAATGTCTTACTGAATTCACAGAGAAGCAGTAGTGTTTATTTTTTTAATTGGTAAGATATTTACAAAAAGAATTTATATACCTGGTTAAATTGCTCAGTAAAATGCAATGTTAGTATAACTCAAGACCCTTTTACTTACTTAAGAAATGAATCCTGTATTTGTACAGTTAAAGTAGAGTTATAAGTTTTAAATTGCAAATTATAAAACTGGAGAAGGTTTAATTTAAATAGAATAGAAGAGATCAACTAGTCAGACTCTTGAATTTAAATAAGAACAAATTGAGGCTTAGTGTAGATAGCAGAATAATAAAATTAATGGCTTAAATAAAAGTTTAAGAATTAACCATCATTCTTTTATTTGTTTTATTAATAGAATTATTACAGTGTTATTTAAACTTTAAAAAGTTATTGATTTAGAACCTTTTAGAAATGGAAAGACACATCTCTGACATTAATAACAGATACTTCCTTCTAGTGCAGAAACAGTGCATCCATATATTGTTTCTTTACTTAAAAGTTCATATATCTAGCATGTAGAAGAGAAGAGAGAACTTGATATGATCATCTGTGTGTTCAAGTTAAAATTTCTCCCATTTATTTCAGCAGCTATATATTTGGGAGATAATCATCACAGTTTTGCTTCCCAGGGCATGATTTGTATATGATTTTTTTCAGGTTGTGGACTGCACAACCCTAGCTTGCAGCATTTACACTGAAATTGAATGTAACAGTGGCCAATGGATCATGCAGAGCATAAACAACAGGACCTCAGTCAATCTTTCTTCCAAAAATTAGCTATTATTCTGTATTTAGAGTTATATAGTTTTCAGTCTTGCTTCACACATGCATCCTTAATTTATCAAACAGCAATTCATTAGCAGTATGAAGCAGAATAACCTATTTTTTCTTGAAGTACAGTCTTCAGCCACTCTAATGAGATTCTCTTCTATTCTCAAGCCCCCATAATTAAACTTATTTAATATTTATGGATTTATTTTTTTAAGATTTTTATTTATTTATTCATGAGAGACACAGAGAGAGAGAGAGAGAGAGGCAAAGACATAGGCAGAGGGAGAAGCAGGTTCGTTCCCTGTGAGAGCCTGATTCGGGACTCAATTCCAGGACCCTGAGATCATGCCCTGAGCTGCAGGCAGATGCTCAACCCCTGAGCCACCCAGGCATCCCCATATTTATGGATTTATGAGACAGTTTTGTAAATTCTGTCTAGAAAAAACCCACACATAAGTAATCAATTAATTTACAGCAAAGGAGCCAAGCATATACAATAGGGAAAGGACAGTTTCTTCAATAATTGGTGCTGGAGGGATGCCTGGGTGGCTCAATGGTTGAACATCTGCCTCCAGCCCAGAGCATGATCCTGGGGTCCTGGGATCTAGTTCTGCATTGGGTTCCCCATAGGGAGCCTGCTTCTCCCTCTGCTTATGTCT